TTTATTTTTAATTTACTCTTATTTTCCGTTATATATTGATTTTTAAATAATCTAAAATATATCATTTTCATTGAAATACGTGTTTTTAAACCATATTTGCCAAGTAAGGAGCACAAATAATAAGAAAAACGAGAAACTTCGCCCTTTAAATCATAGTTTGGAGACACGCGGATATAAAAGTTCCTGTTTTTATTTTTAAGATGGGAGCCAGATCGTTTTCCGCTTCATTAATTTATTGGTATTTATTTCTGCCAAGCGAACCAAACCACACTCAGAATATGAGGAGTCAAGCTATTTGAAAGCCTTCTGTTTTAACAAATGGTTTCGAAAATAACCAATAAGTCAATAGTATGGGCCATACTTTAGCGATATATTTATATTTAACTTTGTTTCATGGTTTTAATCAGATAAACGGGCAGCTGCAATTTTTGAGGTCAGTGTCGGACTAGTCTAAACGGGATACTAAAAAATTACACAAATAATTAAATTCTTTGGTCTTAAATAAATCACAAAATTACCTTTACGAAATAATGAAAATTATTTTTTAACGCCCAAAGTGAAAACCTATTCGTATTCTATGAACACTGCTTTAACCATTTAACATAAGGACATAAGTCTACGACATCGGATATAAGGGATGAATGGTTCCATTAATTTTGATCTATCTGGTAAAATTCATGAAAAAATTTCAAAAATCATATCTAGTAGGCTGTGACATTGTGTTTCTGAGTCATTGTCATGAGACTGTGCACTTTACAGTTCCTGGGCAAAAAAATATACACGTTAAGATAATAATCGATATTATTTTGATATATTTTAGAGATAAAATTAGCCAACTTAAGAACAAGAATATTATTTATCAATTTTGCATTTTTCTATTTTTAAATTATATAATTCTACGTGAGATCTCACTTTTGTTAAGAGTTATTGCTCCGATGACAATAGCAGGAAATTTGTATTAAAAATAGGCATTCTGTTTTAATCCTAGAAGACACAGTTTTAAAGATAATACCATATATTTTTTTATGTGCAAAGAGAGTAAGTGGCAGTAGCCCTGCCCTGGGTTTTCATACTTTTTTGAAAAATGGTCCGTTTTGTCTACAAAAAATCATAAAGTTTATTAATTTTGTTTAAAAAAGGACAACTTCTAATAGAGAATTAACATTATCAAACATGCATTATTTTTCTAACGATTAATGTCAACTTGTAGTAAATCTTTTTCTTAATAAGATCAAAAAATAATTTTTAAAATTGAACTTAATATAAAGCCGTAATCATTAAAATAGCAAAGTATTTTCTGATATAAAAATGATTGAAAAATATGATTACGATATCCCCTCTCAAGACGTTCCGTGTTCGTACCGAAGGATGGGTGCTGTTGCCTTTCTCGTCTACCTAGTATTGAAATTTGGCCAGATACGGAATAAGGGTACATATATGAGATAATTTTGTTTTCAATATAGAATTTGCAATGTTTCAATATATTTAAAACATAGTTTAATTAGAAAAAATTAGGTAGAACAATTATATTTGTATAGTAGATATATATTATAATTATTTTCTAAAATAATTCATTTTGCAAAGAATATCAACTAAGCTACTAATATACTAAAATCTATAAATCAGCCTTATAAATAATGTATTTAACAAATGTTACATATTATATGAATAATTTACATGTTTTCTGACTTATCTGTGAATGAAACGTGGAGAAAATAGTTTTACTTACAAGTTTTTCTTGATTTTGTTGCTGTCTGCTGTTGTAGTGATCTGATAATTTGTAGACTGTATAATTGTTTACAGAAAGATATTTCCTTGGATGCCCTCTTTTCAGCATATAATAAATAAAGCAAGAAGATGATTTAATATTTTATTTTGTACAAATATATAAAATATATTAATTTACACCATTTAACGTATAATAGTATTTTGCAATTTTTACAATACTTACGAATGCCTTTTATTCTTAACTTATGTTATTGATTTAAGATAATGAAATTCAGAATTATTTTGGTCTATATATATTGACTGAAACTCAAAAAGATATTCTTATAGAAATAATATTTTAAAAACTGAGGAAACAGAGCCGAAGTGTTTTGTTACTATCCGGCTTTGATTGGTCCGAATTTCATGATGGCGGCCGTTGAATAATGTTATCATATTTTGTTGTTGCTAACTTTGAGATATAAATACATATTTTCTCTTTTTGATGTCAACTATTTTAAAAAGAGTTTGCTTTTAAAATAAGTGGATATTATAGAAGGACAAACAAACGCCAAAGTTGGCGTAATATATTATGGACCCTGTACGTCAAACTTTTTTTCATTTTTAGATATGATGTAAATGTATCATCACGAATTATAAAATAATTTAGTTTTGTTTTTGTGAGGAGCAGGGCGTTTGACTAAACAGCTCGATATTATTTTTTACAGCGTAGGCATAAGAAATGTATTAAAATGATCGGTTATTATTTTTTGGTAACTTAATTGGACCCAATACTACAAATAAATTAGTCACAGAAGACCTGAAAATAAATATAGGTATTATAGCGTTTTAACAGTACCTAGATTAAAATCAAAAATATTAAAGAAAATACTTTTAGAATCAATAGCGGCTTTGTAGAAACATCTTACTATTAATGTTATTTGACTTTTTGGAGGTATTTATTTTTGTTTTTTATTTTTGAATTTTTTAATTGCTTCTAAGATGTAATCAGGTTCTCTTAATGACATTCCCCGATTATGCATTGGATCTACCAATTCCGGCAACATACATTTTAAATAAAACTTTTTTAACTTCTCCTCCATATTTTTACACAAGAAATTGTCTCTTTTTATTATATATTCCACTTTAAGTGGACAATTGGGACCTGTCCATACACCAAAAATACATCCTTTTCATCCTGTAATATGTAATTGGCCTTGTATTTGTAATACCATTGATGGTGGATATTAATGTCAAAATTATTGGTGTCTTTATTAAAAATCCAAAAGGGTATTTTTTTCAATTTAATTGCCTCTTCTACCTGCATTTGATATGCAGCGTATGGACATTTTATTTCAACCACTAATTCATCTCCTACAATGACGTCTGGAGTAGCACCTACAAATTTAAAAATTATTATTTTGATTTAAAATGAACTAATTTGCAATATGTTATAGTTGAGATGTGAGTACAAATGTGAACTGATCGTTTCCTACCTAAATATGGATATTTTTTGTCAATAAATATTCCACAATCTCTAAACACTATATTTTCTTGCTCTTGAAGCTGCAAAAGGACTGTTTTTTCATACTTTTTGCCATGAGAAATAGGAGCAGCATTGACTGGTAGTTGGTAAATAATCCTATTGACTAAAGGCTCACATAAAGTAGTAATTCGTCTAGTACACACTGCTTTAAAGTGTGAGGCCTTAATCATTTTTCTACGAATTTCAAGCCAAACCCTGCTATCCGCCTGTAACATAGTTTGTTCCTGAATTATATTTCTCTTAACGTCAGATGAAGGAAATTCGTTTAAAAATTGAAGTTTTTTACTTCATAAATATCTTGATCTAAATCCTTTTTGGTACAATTTTCTCCATAATCTAAATCAGTTTTATTGGTTTTTGCAGAATAACTTTTTTTTAGTTTGCGATTAGATTTTGATTTTATTGCCAATTGTTGCCTTTTTTTTTTCAATTCAGTTACTAACATGGATTGGTTAGTACGGTTTAAAGTTTTTTTCAAATCTGAATTCCCTGATTTCGAATTATATGATACAACTGCTGCAAAACATCTACTTTGGTAAGAGCGCCCTCTGGAATAATTGATTCTTTTGCATGAAATTGTTCCACAATATTACTATCAAAAATCATGTAATAGACTTCTGCTGTGATCTGACAATGCATGTATAATTTGTAGAAGTCTGGTAAAAAAATTCAGGTTTAGATCTGAAATTGGTTATTTCGTTTTTGGTTTCATCTATATGCTTCTGACAAAAATAAATATCGCAGTTTTTATGATTACCAAAAACGTGAAAACTTGCATTGTCTTTGTCTTTCTTTAAAAGCAAAACTTTATTAATAGTGCTAAGACTGTTTTCTTTTCTATAAGAAATTGCCTTCGTAACAGATGTTCTTAAACGAAGAATGTTTTGACTAACTAATTTTCTTAGTTTTATTGGAAAATTCACAAATAACTTTCTCTTTTAGGCTCAAAATTTTACTTATTACGTTTAAATCTTCAATTCACCGGTATAACTAAATAAATCGCCGATCCATTTCCTATGATAGGGGAAATGTGGCCCGACGACCCGTTATTGGAATTTTGAAGGTAGGTGTATAATATGAGTAATATGCCGACAAATTAGTTCTCATGAACGGAGCAATAACTCTTAACTGTCCGTGCAATAGGGTAGGTAAGTTTAGTGCAATGAAAATCTTATTTTTAACGTAAAAGAAAACTAAACAAATAAGAATGATATTCAAAAATCCTACATAAAACATTTTATCAAATAAATATTACAATACAAATATTATTATTCTTAAAAACTTTGTTTTACTTTGGTCCCCAATAAATATTCTCACTTTCGTTAATAAGGTGACTTTTCCATCCAGACTGGACAGATGTCGCTAATATTCGTCATTAACAGCTTTATTTAGTTGTTTTCATCAGTCGCGCTCTAGCGTTGGGGACGGGAGTATCGTCAGTTGTCATTTCTATTTGTTTGTGGAAGAAAGTGTTATACAGTTCACATACGGTAAGCATAATGTCTCACTTTTTTATGGGAATATTTATAAAAACAAGTCACTCACGTGAATTTTTTAATGCCTGACTGTTTGCTAGTATGATACAATACATATATCTAAAATGAGGGTATTTTTAAAGAAAGTTTACATACTATTTAGCGGCAAATTTGAACGAAAACCTCACTTTCGTTATTCTCACTTGCGTTGTATGTGAAATTAACAAAAGTGAGGTCTAGTTAACGTCAGTGAGAATTATTTAAATTTCTTGTCAATGCCAAAGCGTAAAATGATTTTTCGTCGTTCTTGCAGAATATACTACAAAATAATGGCAACGTCAAAAAGTATAAGAGAACCAAGAAGAAAAATTCGTAATGAAATATCCAAAAATGCCATGCGAAATTTGTGTGAAAAAATAAAATCAAATCCCCTATTACACGAAGAAGAAAAAAGGAAAGCAAGAGAACGATACCAAGCAAGAAAGGAAACAGGAAAAGTACATCTAATTTCAGCAGTTTCTGAACGAGAAAAAAGAAAAATTAGAAAAGGGTGGAGAGAAAGAAGCAAAAAAGCATATTATGCGAAAAAGGGGAAGGAAAATCTAATGGCAATGTTTAATTCCATGACGCCGCCTAATTCTCCATTGCCAGAGGAAATCGTAGCGGAAGAAAACAATCCATATCCTCCGGATCCATTCGCTGGCCCTTCATGCCAGTTTTTAAAAGGGAAACTGTTACAAAGAAAAAACCGAGAAAAAATGAGGACAGAAATAGAACAATTAAAGAAGCAATTAGAGGTTGCAAATAGAAAGGCGGAAAAATGTAAAAAAAGATTAGCGAGATTAAAGAAGAAAGGGCCAAATAATCCAACAAAAAGAGTTCATGATATGTTGCAGGGTCAGGAAGTTACCCCGGAAGTGAAGAGAAAACTTGTCATTGCAGAGGTTGTTCAGAAACAAATTAAAAGCAATTTTAGAGAACAGAAGACAGTTGGGGATAAGCAACGATTTATAAACTGCATTTCTGGAGATATCGTAAAAAAATATAAATATAGAAAATTAATAGGATTCATTAGTTCCTAAAGACTTTTGAGAAGGAATACGCCTAAAGAGTGTAAAAGAATAAAATTATTTTTACTGACTAGGAAACTTGTTTTTGATTTTTTCGAAAGCGATGAAGTTAGTCGAATGTGTCCAGGGAAAAAAGATAGTCACTTTTCGAAAAATAAAGAAACAAAAACGGTATTTGACTGATTCAATAAAAAATATATTTGAATTATTTAGGAAAAATCATCCAAACGTTAAAATAAGTTATTTCAGATTTTGCAAATTCCGCCCGTTTTGGGTTTTAATTACGACTGTTAAAAATCGAGAAACGTGTCTATGTATTATCCATGAAAATACATCACTTTTGATTGCTAAATTAAAAATTTTAAACATAATTAATGCCGCTAACTTAAGTGCATTATTAACAGAAATATATTGTGATATAAATAACGAAAATTGTTTGAAACGCGAATGCTTAACTTGTGGCAATAAAGAACTGAAATGTAATTAGTTTACTGATGGGATTGCATCATATCAAAGGTGGATCTCCAAAAAAGTAGACGTCATAATTAAAGGGGAGAAAAAAATGTGCCAAAAAACCATCAAAGAGGTCGTAAACAGTACAAAGAAGAATATGGTAAATATATTAATAGAATAATTGCCAAATTTTTTAAAACATTATATGCAAATTCAGCATCAATATAAAGTTATAGATGACATAAAAAAAATCTTTCTGAGAATGAAGTACTGATACATATCGACTTCTCTGATAATTATAGTTGTAAATATGGCCGAGAAATACAATCAGCCCATTTTGGGGGATCAAAACCCCAGATTAGTTTACATACAGTAATAGTATATCTGCATCAGGACCAAAATAAGTCAATGTGTTCCTTTTCCGAAAATTTGCGACAGGATTCATTTGCTATCTGTGGTCACTTGGAGCCTATTATCGAAAATGTTAAGAGTCTTGTTGCAAATCTTCATACGGTTCACTTTTTGAGTGACGGACGATCAACCCAATACAAGAATATAAAGATGTTTTTTTTTACTCGGAAAGTATCTCTCAAAATCTTTGGACTGTCAGATTATTAGATATGGCATTACAGTGAACCTGGCCATGGAAAAGGGGCCCCCGATGGCATAGGAGGGTGCTTGAAAAGGACTGCGGATAATCTTGTTGTTCAAGGTCGAGATCCAAAATTTAGTTAGAGAATTGCAGGATAATTGCAAAGGTATAAAATGTTATACCATTTCTGACTCAGAAATAAACAAAATAGAATCTACGGTCACAATTCCTGCTGAATTTAAAACCTTTAAGGGGACTATGTCGATAAGAGAAATCATATGGACAAAGTCTTCTTCCAATACACTTGAAGCGAGAAGTTTATCTTGCTCATCTTGTGGAAGTATGAAGTGCACCCATTATAGGCTTGGATCCATAATAATTCTTCCTAGCGTACTTCAAAATGAAGAAAACATTCAGGACTGTATCCTTTTTTTGTTTTTTTTTTAATAAATTTTTATATGACAGAATGACTTTTAAAGATCACTCTTTTTCAATTTAAATATTTTTTCCTTAGTTAATTAATTAGTACCACTTGGTGAAGATGAGTTAATCCATATTGTTCAAAGTTCTATACCAATTGGACTTGGATATGGTAGTACAGAATGTATACTTTTTATTTTATTAAGACACAACTGTTTTTGGAGGTACTTTGTTGATTACTAACTTATTTTCCTTAAATCAATATATAGTGGCGAGTACTTCTTCTAAATTAAATCCAATGAAGGAAGGTATATCTAGAGTATCCATTATTCAGATGTGTATTCGTCAGATTCGAGCTATGATGATATAACCTCAGCTGAATTAAAAGAAAAAGTTATATACAGTGCAGCCTCTGAAAACAGATCAAACATTCCTTATGGCCCCAGCATTCCTAAAGTCAATGACTGTGGTTGTTAAATTGACTTCTAAAAAATACGCAAAGCACTTCATAGGGATTATAATGGATATAACCTTTGATGAAGAAATAACTTTCAACATAAAATTTTTAAAAAAAGTTGCAATAAATTTATGTTTCCTGAAAGAATTGATATTTCGTATGTTTTTATGGCAGAAATTATCACAATTTTGCCTTCAGTTTCCGAAAATAAAAATCTGTATGTTTTTGATATACCAGATAATTTGGTGATAGAATCATAACCTTTATTAGATTATTTACTGTAAAAACATGTTTCAAAGTTTATCTTTTTTTGAATAAAAGTTTGTGTTTTTTCCATGAATTTTATTATGTCTCACTTTTATTAACTCGCTTCTCACCTGTGTTAACCAGCAATTCCTAAAATATACATTTTATGGGAAAATAAGTTAATTTTAAGCTCAACCTATTATTTAGTATTACTACAATTGGTTTTATAATTTGTTACAATTTTTTTAATTTCAGATTTCTTTCCCTTTTTTCGTTTAAAAATGACACTCTTCGAAATGCACTTTAACGTGACAATGACCCTTCTATAAGACTATTTTCGTCGGTTTTGAGATGTATTTATGGTTGAGCACTTGCAGTGGAATCTTCAACACAAAGCAAAAATCAAAATCAAAATCAGTACTACATAAAACGTTTTCTGTGGTACTGATTTTTGAGATCAAAATAAAAATGGCGTCCAAAATATAACCATTTTGTTCTGTATAGGAAGGAGTATAAAGTACGGAAAGTAAATTGAAAAAATAAAATAAAACATTTATTTAAACAAATAAATAATAATAATAATAATAATCTAAAGAAATAAGAATTATGGCAGGGGAAGAAGTTGGAATGGCTTTTGGTAGGTAGAGAGGGGGGAAAACGTCAAACCACGTCGGACGGCTTCGATAATTTCGCGTTTCGTTTCATAGAATAAGTAATTTTAAATTGTTGCTGGCGCATGTATTTATGGACTAAAAATAATTATTATAATATTCAAATCATAAACCTACAAAATTTCAACAGTTGTTCACAATTTATTAAACTATTTACCCAAAATTGTTATTAACGTCTATAAAATAATTTTGTACGCCATTGTATCGCGTCCACTTCGGTTAGTTCTGCCGCAAAACTGTCAATTTATGTGTATGAAGTGGATGAACTGCGAAAAGCCTTTGCAATTTCTGCCCCTACTATATAAATCATAGCACTCTAAATAAATAATAGCAAAAATAGTGGTGTACACACAAATTCACATTATAATTGAATCGGTTATTTGGAAAAGGGCACATCTACTTAACACACAATTTTAGAAAAAAAAAACATATAAATTAAATTGCGTGTACATAATAGTATTAGCAAGTGAAAAAGCTAATTACAGTTATTTTTCATGTATTTTTGCAAAATCTATATTATAAAAATATTTTTATATTCACTTCATTTGGGCCCTTTTCCAAACTTATTTGAAATAAAACAACAAACATAAAAATCTGATACATTATTCATTAAACAAGTATGGAGACCGCTGTTGGCCAGTCAAATATCATACCGTAAAATTCTTTGTTTTACTGGGGAATATACTGGATTAAAGATTTCAAATTGTTAACTTTTTTTGTATTGATGTGGGCACCCTGGTAGTATATGGTTTAAATGCTTTATATACTTCTTCAGCAGAAAGATTCTCTATATTATGTTTACACCACAAACCACAACAAAAATTCACTGCTGATTCAACGACAATTAATTTCAAATTATAATTTTAATCTTATAGACCAAATCGTGATGACGCAAAACATACGCCTGGTTTCAGCGTAACTATTTCGAAAAGATTGTCACATATTGCCTTTTCGAACCAAACGCAGTGAAAGGGGTAGCTAGTTAATGCAGTTATAGGAGTTTTACCGTGATATTTTGCTTCTGTTTCGTACCAAATGGTTCGCGTTCAATAAAATTATAGAAAAATCCTATAAAACGAGAATAATAATACTCTCCCTAATTCACCCCCTTACGAGTGAATGTTAACCCCAAAAGCTGAGCTTGTGCGGGAAAGGGACGGCTATTATTATTATTTGCCGTGGTGCTCCGGGGCGACTTAATGACCGAAATTATTGTCGTTTGTGCCCTTTTCCAAATAACTGCTTAAATTGTTTCCAGCGTGTACTGTAGGATCTTTAAATGTATTCATCCCATCATAAATAAATTATTTATCATTGTAGATGTATAAGGTATATTTAGAAGAACAAAGTGATATGTCCTGTATAAAATTAAAAGTCATGATGATGATCAATAACCAATTCTTAACAACCAAAGTTGCTTAGGAGTTTAATATTTGTCATACTAGGCCTGCCACGAATGAAGACTTGCCTAAAAGGTAACAAGTGTGTGACGTAGGTATGTAGTGCAATGGAGCCACTACAGTACCCAAAAATTAACAATATACGAGGGCTGTCTTTTAAGTTTTGTATATAGACCTAGACCTGCACTTTTGCATACACTCCATTCCACCTCTGGGGTGTCACAGCTCCAATGGCTGGTTTGAATGCCTCAACTCCATCTTCTGGTGACTGGAACCGTTGCCCACGCAGTGCGTTCTTGATTTTCGGAAAATCGTTGGGACTTAGGTCGGGACTGTAAGGAGGGTGGTCTAACAACTCGACGTTCTGTTGCTCTAAGAAGGCAATTGTTTTGCGAGCTGTGTGCGCACTTGCATTGTCTTGATGGAGGATGATTCGTTGTTTGGGGTTGGTTTCTCAAAGCTTAGCGAGGACTGCTGGCAAACAAATCGTTATATACCAATCGGCAGTAACAGTTCTTTGCTCTTGCAGAGGAATTGTTGCAACAGACCTGCTTTGGAGACAAATGTTGCCACCATCTTTTTAGACACACTTCGAGAACGGATCACTTTTGTCGGCTTGTCTTCACCTTGGAAAATCAGACGATAGACGTTTATTTTCAGGTTCATATGAGTAAATCCATGATTTATCACCACTTACGATGCAGTACACGTTTTTAGAGTTTCCAGCGTTGAAGCGCTCCAGAGTTTTTTTGACACCAATTTACCCTAGCTTC